CGAAGAAATAGATCATCACTTACTGTTTCTGCTTTACGTTTACCATCACGTAAATTTGATGTATTAAATGTATTCCAAGTTTTTGTATGTCCAATTAATTTTGGAAATTGTCTTTGTTCATCTTTTCTAAGAGACGAAATTAGAGAAAAACAACATTAAAATTAAAAAAAAATCAAATATCACACAAGTTAATGGATAATTTCGTTTTCGTGTATGTTTTGGTATTGCTGCTTCTGTATTAACTTGTGTAACATTTGTTAATTTAATAAACCAACTATGAAGAATTGGACTTGTTGATAAATAACAACGTTGATGATTAAGATTTACGAGAATATTTAATTTTAGAAATGTGTTCATCGTATAAAAGTAATGAAGTATTTTGGACAATAGAACAAATTTTATGACGATTGGATCGAATTACCATTGGTATAGAAAAAGAGACTTTAGATAACTCGTTGACTTGATATGGTAATCTGAAATGGAAAGTAGTGCCATCTAACGGTTACTACATCATCAAGCTCTTTAAATATATTTGTACTTTAAAGAACTTTATTCAGTAAAAATAATGATGTAATTTTTTTCTTTTGATGAACTTAAAAAAATGGAATAGAGATAGCTGCATGAATACTGTTGTTTTGAAGTCTCCATAAATGCAAAAATGCTATTGTTTAAGAATATAATTTAATCAAACAATAGTTTAATTAAATCTAGCATTGACAGGAAATAATTAAAAAATAAGATACATTCATATAAATATCTATGTAGAAGAAGAACTATCCATTTGTACCTATAGGTACTTTTGAAACTTACTCATACAAAAGCTTTGAAAAAAGTATCCAAAAAAGTACTAATATGTAAACATGAAGTTTGTTTTGTTTTTCATAAGCTCATTTGGACATAATTAGTATTTTTATGAATCATAGGTTTATCTTATATGTATCCCTTATAACAAAATATAAGGTCAAAAAAATATCATACCATATTATCTTGAACTTTTCTTTTATCTAGTGAGTAGGTAGATGATAAAGGACCATTAAATTATCTTTCCGACGTATTTTCATATGCTGAAATGATATTAGTATCACTTAAAGGAACAGAATAATGTGCTTGTTCTTGATATATCATATTATTTCTTACAAAATTTTTCATAAAAAAAACGGAAAAAACTACCATAAGCACACTCTTTGTTTACTATTTACAGATAAATACAGCACTTAGTGGCGTTTTTCATCAAATGATACCAGCAGCATCTGATAGAATCATTGATTCTAATGCTGATATACAACGTACAAATCTTAATATGCGGAAATCATCAAGAAGTCGTAGTCGTCGAGAAAAAAAGCCACACATTATTATTGATGTAGCTACACCAACACTTTCTCAATCATCTACTACACAACATCAACGTGTCATGCTTGTTGAAGCAAGTTCAACGGTATTTGGCAATGAATGTCTTCGACTTGTTAATATTGTTTTTCAAACAAGTCAAACATTTCCATCAATAATGGGTACATGTATTAATGTATGTCAATATTTGCTAAAAGAACTTTTTAAAAAATATCCTGGTGAATATTTTCATATAATTATTGGTCAAAATAATGCATTTGGCTTTGCTATTGATGATGATGATCATTTTGCTGAAATGGAACAAGAACAATATCGTGTGATAATCTTTACAACAAAACTAGACAAAGAAGTTAAGTTAGAAATGCATGATGCTAATAGTCAGATGATGCTTGAATGGAAATCACTGATAGTCAAACAAACGAAAAAATAAAAAGCATTACTTTTATTCTATATTGATATAAAAAGCGTAGTAAAACTACTTAACAGTAATAAGACACTTGTTTATTTATCATATGATTTTGCCTACAATGTTAAACTAACATGAAAGAAAATAAGAAACAAGTTTTTAAAATAAAAAAATATAATAATTATGCAACAAGATATTGTAGATGTTGAATACGTCAGAATTCTCTAGGAGTCATTGCACGAGAAAGACAACCGATTTCCCAATATGGGTGCTCAATCGATATCGCAGATCGAGATCGGAGGTAGCCCATCTTGTAGAGCACATCATATGATAAAT